ATGCTTTGAGATGGAATTGAAAAAGTGTGCAGCCCAGTTTACCTTAGTTTTGGTAATGAGAGCGTTGATGATGAAGGCTCTCTCCTGGGTGATGTCATCGGCATGACCTCCACTCCCACATTCGAGGCAGGCGATGACCAGTTCCAAAATCAACTTGTAATCGTTGTTCAGATCTGCTTTCTTTGCTGGGCCAGAAGGAGTTCGCCCAGAAATTCCAATGATGTTCCAGTCCAGATTTTTGACTGGAAATTTCCCAACTTCAACTCCAGAATTGGGAAGGCAAAGCTTTCTTCCCAATTTGTTCTGCGAAAGCTTCACCTTTGAGCCTCCAACAGTGGACTTGATGACTGGAAATGTGCTCTGTGGATTTTTCTTTGACTGAGCAGATTTGATTTCTCCATTTCTGTAGAATTCAAGAACTTCTTCCTCGAATTTGAGGCGAATCTCCATTTGAAGAAATTCAGAGAGTTCTTGAGCGGCTATCATCTGCAGATAGTTTTGGAAGAATGTTGGAGATGAGCACTTGGCTTCTAACTTCTGAAAGTGGACATTTGCACCGAAAACCTTCATTTTCTCAGAAATTTGGGTGAAAATTTGAGAAATAAAGGCTTAGGGTTCTTGCAGATTTTTGAGAATTTTTCGCGAAGAAGATGACGAAGAATTTTTGAGTGGGCGGTTGAGATCTGAATAGTGGCGATTGGGATTTAATGTGGGCGATTTATGCGGCTAGTGGCGATGCTGTTCCCAAGGCCACGTTCCCACCCATCAATTTTGACAGACGTGGAAAGTGAACTGCCACGTGCACTACATTGAGTCTAATTGAATTAGACCAATTTTGTGAAGCAAATCGGAAAACTTGGCTTCACTTAGTGGTTTGGTGAAGATATCCGCCAGTTGTTCTTCAATTGAGATATACTCAATTTTGATATCTTTCTTTTCCACATGATCTCTGATGAAGTGATGCTTGGCATCAATGTGCTTAGTGCGAGAATGATGCACTGGGTTTTGAGAGATGGCTTTGGCACTTTGATTGTCACAAAAGATTGTCACTTCCTTTGTTTTGACTCCATAGTCCAGTAGTTGTTGCTTTAGCCACAAAATTTGAGCACAACAACTGCCAGCTGCAATGTACTCTGCTTCTGCTGTAGATGTAGAAATGGAGTTTTGTTTCTTACTGAACCAAGAAACAAGATTTCCACCAATGAATTGACAAGTACCAGATGTACTTTTCCGGTCAACTTTGCATCCGGCAAAGTCAGAATCTAAGTATCCCACTAACTCAAATGAATTGCTCTTACCATACCACAAACCCATGTTCTGAGTTCCTTTGAGGTATCTGAGAATCCTTTTAGCTGCTATCAGATGGCTTTCCTTTGGCTTTGACTAGAATCTGGCACAAACACCTACTGCATATGAGATATCCGGACGGCTTGCAGTAAGGTAGAGTAGAGATCCGACAATCCCCATGTAGAGAGTTTGATCTACATCCTTTCCATCTACATCCATATCAAGTTTGGTGGATGTGCTCATGGGGACAGAAACGGATGACTTCTGATCAACTTTGAACTTCTTGATAAGATCCCTTGTATATTTTGCTTGATTGATGAGAGTACCTTCACTTCTCTGTTTGATTTGAAGGCCAAGGAAGTAGTTGAGTTCCCCCAT